TGCATAGGTTTTTATTACTGCTCCTTCTCGAAGGTTCTTCCTGCATAATTATTAGTCTGTATGGTTTGGAAATTCTCTTTATATATTTAGTATTTGCCTATTTCTCATTTTTATTTGCCTGCTTTTTTATCTTCTTATTGCAAAGTCACCATCTGACTGTTTTATGGTAAGGATTTGTGTGCAGCTTAGATAGGCTGCTAAACATCAAAGAGATTTATGCATATGTAATAAAGATGTATCACAGGGAGCAGGTAACTGCAAATCTTGGTTGGAATTTTCAAATCTTTAATAGTAAATTCTCTGCATAAATAGAATAAGGATGTAATTTCTATGCATCAGGTGTGGGATGAGCCGTGTGGCTCAGATAGGGAAACCTCATTCCTCTGAGGAAGAACCAAGAGAATTTAGAAATTCTATGCAGTAACTAAAAGGTTTCTTCATGTTATCACCTGAGTGTGTCTCTTCAAAATTTGTGCCTTGAAATTCCAACCCCCATTGTGTTTGTATCAGGGGTCGGGACTTTTGGGTTGGGGTCATTAGGTCGTGAGGGTTCATCCTCATGAATGGGGTTAGTGCCCTGACAAAACTGGCTCGATATTATTCTAGCTCTCCCACCAGGTGAAGACACAGGAAAAAGAAATCCTCTGCCAGACTTAGAATCACCTGGTGCTTTGATCGTGTGCTTCCCACCTTTCTCCACTCCAGTGAGAAATAAAGATCTGTTGCTTACACCATAATGTGTATGGATTGAGTGGACTAAGGCAACTAATGTGGTCAATACATGCTTGCTCACCACCCCAATTCTCTCCTTTCTGTGTCTGCTATGTACTCGGGGGTGGGCTCTAAGACCCAACAGACTATTTCCTAGATTCCCTTGCTGGTTGTCTTTGATTTAAGTTCTGCCAGTGGGAGGCACTGAATGAGTTTGAAGGTAGTAGGAGAGGAGAAGGATTCTCTTCCTGCTTCCAGCTTCTATTGCTTTCCTCTAGCTGTAGTAAGCGTCAGTGGAACAGGATCTTCTAATTCCAGAGCCTCTACGTGGAACCTCCCTCTCAGGAATCTCACAACTGAGATCCTTTGGTGTACAGAAAAATGGAGCCCCGTGGTACCTTCCAGAGGTTCCAGTCCCTCTTCTACAGTTCTGGGCTAAATCAACACTATCTTTTACATTTTGTATCCCAGGTTGGTTTTATGGGATGAATTCTGTTCTCCTCCTACCCTTCAAATTCATCTATTGAAATCCTAACTCTCATATCTCGGAATATGACTTTATTTGGAAATAGGTACCTTAAGGAGGTAAGTAAATTAAAATTAGGTTAGGCCCTAATCCAAGATGACTCATGTCTTTATAAGAACAGGAGGTTAGGATATAGACGCACATGGAGGAAAGACCCTGTGAAGAAAAAACAGGCATCTGCAAGCCAAGGGAAAAGACCTCACAAGAGATTGATCCAGCCAACGCTGTAATCTCAAACTTTGGACCTCCAGAACTGTGAGAAAATGGATTTCTGTTGTTTAAGCTACCTAGTCTGTGGAATTTTGTTAGGGCAGCCCTATCATGCAATTATAAATGATAGTACTACTGATCTCTGGATTATCCACTGCCTCTGTTGTCTCCATTTTTCTGTTGGCCATTTCCTGTATTAAATTATTTCTTTGATATACCTGGCAAGGTATTGGTTTCCTAACTAAAACACTTAATAAATTATCTTCAGTGTATGTGTCTTAGACCTATTAGCCCTTTGAGAAAACAGACATAGTAAAAAGGATGAGGTGATTTTTTGATAATTCACTTAAATATTCTTTAAATAGTTTTGTATTTAATTGTAAGAGCTGCTTAAGAAAATGTTCTCTATCGAAAGTGTATTTATGATGCTGATTTTTGTGGGGCCTCTAACACTAGTGGGCCTTAAATTTGACTTTTCTCAACTCATTTTTTGAATTGCCAATTGCTTCCTCAGAGTGTAGACTAATTAAGTGGTCTTTGCCCTTATTTGACAGTGCTAAATAAAAGCTGGCTGAAGGGAGTATGATAGAGACGAAGCTAGTCATTGCAGATCTTTAAGCCTTGTCAAGTGAGATTGATTTTGCTGCAGTTTTGCCCACTCACTGACTTGATAACTTCTGTCAATTCCTTTAGGACCTTGTGATTGTTTCTAGAAAAGCTTAAACAATGTAGCTTTACAGTTGCCTACTGGACTAGGATACCCAATGTTGGATAATTGCCTGCTCATTTTCCACTCATGTTCCCATATTTCTTTACTATTTATTTGGAGGCAGGTATATATTATAGGCTAGGATCCCTGGGATACAGATTCTGAGATAAAGAGGTTTTATTGGGGAATGCTCTTGAGAATGATACCTGTAAAAGAGTGAGGAAAACCTATTGGGCAGAGGGAGATGTTGACTATACAAGCATACTCAGCTAACCCTTGGGGCTATGAAACTGAGATAGTGCTTTGGAGAGAGCCTTTTTGGCCCAAGGAATGTAGGCTGCCCCCATGGAGGATGATGATCTTAGGAGGCAGCTTCCTCAGGTAGAGGGACACAGTTGTGAACTTTCAGCAAGCGAGGCTTCTAGCAACTGCAGGTTAAGTGCCTCAATGCTGATGCTGAAGTGGGGGTCAGAGTGACATATTGTGGTGTCTGCTGTGATAGGTTTTGCAAAAGTTCTCAGGGATTCAAGGTGCATCATAATATTCATAGAATATTATGATAGTACATTTACTTGTCTGAGTGTGTGAGTTCCTTGTGGCTCGGTGTACCTTATTATATCACTTGTTGTATCCCAGTTACCAGTGAAACACAGTACATCTTAGGCACCTGATAAATGTTGAATTTAGTAAGAAAATATGTTTGTTTCAGCTAGTATTTGCAGTGGGCAGTTAACTTAAGGTATCATAGTACTCACTGAAAATGGGTTAAAAAATCTTGTTATTACTCACATTATGAAAAGCTATGTGACTTAGACTCTGGAGTGAAAACCCTACAGGACACATTCTGGGCAAAATAGAAACCTGAAAGTGTGTCAGATAAATCGATCATAAACAGGAACAGAAAACACATGGTGAGGATGGCATTGCCCATGAACACTGGAGAGTGATGGCCAGATACTCTCTTGGCATTGTTGTCCCTTCAACCATTCTGTATTCACAGATGTGACTCAGCGATTGGCATTCAGTCCATGGTTTTGTTAAGCTACCCCTGCTTCCAGTAGGCCCCCAAAGTCAATAGCACATTGACTTATCATCAGCTTCAGGTAAGAAAAAGAATGGAAAGGCAGCAACATCAACAGGAAATAAAACATTTTTATTGATATCTGTGTAATATGATAAGTCATTTTTAACAACAATCAGAAAACTACTGTGAAATTCACTACACTAAGTGAAACAAAATTTAAACCACCTCATCAAAAATGAAGGTAAAATACAGCTAAAGTAGTTGGCTCGCGGGCCACGAGCCATATGGCAGAAGAAAACACCCCAACATTTCTACAAGATACAGAGAAAACCCACACATAGAAACACTCAAGCAGGCAGTAAATATACACAAAGGCAACTAGGATCTTTCTAGAGCATCAGATTCTAATACTTACACAGCTTTGTCAGAAAGGTACATGTGGCTTATCTGAGGATGAATCTTGATCTTAAAGCAGGTTCAGTCACAGACTTGAAAGATGGCATAGTACCAGCTAATTCTATGGTGACAATCCCATGTCTGGCAGTGTTGCAAGAGGATGCATTAGTAGTACTTTAATGCAAGAAATAATGTGTATTCGGTAGCTTGAACCTGCTTGTTTAAAGTGTTGTTTCAGCATGAACGACTTAAAGCTGAATATAGTGAAATTAAATGTCAGTTTTGAGTATTTAAGGAATTTTCAATTGCCAGTCAACTCCCTCTCTTTGGTCAGATTTGGTATGTTAAATTGGAAAGACGCTCATTTCATTCTTCTGTTCAAACTGATATTTAAGCTCACATCGTCACTAGTGCATTTTCTATTTTCTATGTTTTTAAAAACATATGGACCATCTACAGAAGAGGGAGATGTTATTCTTCTTTCGTCCTTTGTGTCTGTCCCAGTTCTAAAGAGTTTGCTATGACTGGGCTGAATGGTCAAAGGGCTTGCCTCTTTTTTGATGAGGAAGAAATAATGACGAGAATTCTAGTTTTCTCAGGAAACAGTCAACCCGATGCTTGAAGCCCACTATCAGCCCTTTTCAATTCTCACTGAGTTTTTAAAAAACATGGCATGGTGTCCTAAAGTCTGAACATGAGGATGATGCTCAGTTTTCCTCTATTTCGTTTGGTATTGTGAAGATAAACTTTCACTTTAGAACATCACTACTCTCTGTGGCCTAGGAGTTCAAATGGGTCACAGAAGTGATGGGAGAAAAGACTAGATGCAGTGTGAGATAATAGGCTGCCCTCCCACGAAGTGGTTGTCTACCATGGTGGGGGAAAATATGGAATATTGCACAGTGTTTGACAAAATGCTGTGTTCCACCCCATTCTATGTATCTTTCTTGTCCTATGCATAGCTTTTCAGTTCTGAATTGGTCCTTTGTAATGAGAACTGTTTGTGCTACACACACCTTGGGCAGTGCAGTAGAAGGGAATGGCAGTATTGTTACAATATCACTACAGAATAAATTGAGTGCTATCCACTGAGGAAACTAAGTGTCTAAGCACACACGGCAGTCACAGTGTTACACAGAGCAGTCCTTTAAGACTCTTATGGAATGACTAGTAGCTTCATAATAGTGCCATTTACTACATAATAACATTGAAAACATTGAAAAACTCTTTCTAAATCAAGCATCTAGTATACATAAGAGGTTGCTTCAGTTTTCTAGAACTTGTTCTTGGTTTTGTTTCACCTTTTTTTTAAAGGACAAATTAAAACTTATTTAAGTAAAAAGAGCATATAAAAAGATCACTAGCTGTTTGTTTTGGCTTAATTGAAGTGCATTCAGAACTATGGCTAATTGTTTATTTTTTTCATCTTTTGATGGGATTACAATACTGTCTGTTTACCACAAAGTGATTTTGTGTAATAAGCACAGATTGCTGTGTTAAAAATATTCTGCATTCCTTCTAATCTGGTTTCATATAATAAAATATTTGTTACAAAGTCTAATGTGCAAACATTTTGGAATTATCATAGATGTGAAATCTGGAACAGAATTCACAGGATGCACATTTTGTATCAAGGTGACAACAGAGAGCTACTTTTTTCTTTTTATATAGTCAGGCAATATTTCAGAAATGCTGACTTCTCCCCCCTCAACTTCTTCTCACCCACCCCATCCCCAAACAATGCACATGCGCACACATATAGGGACACACACACGCGCACACACGACACCATTGTGTTGTTATTCTATGCTGTAATATGAAATCATTGACTCCTGTTCAGATGCTTCCTCAAATGTCAGAGTGAAGCCCTGATTTTAGCTTTGTAGATATGTACAGACAGATGCTATTCTGGTTTGTGGCTATGCTTCCTGGAGGTCAGCCTGGATGCTGTTTAGATCATGCTAATTTGCCTGTGAGGAAATTCTACAAAATTGGATTCACCCACCAATATGTGTTGTAGGTGTATCTTGGTACTCAAATGATCAATAGAAAGCTCAGATTTAAGTTGTCCTTTAAGATGTCAGTTTCACTGTACTAGTGCCTTACAAGTTGATATTTTTGCTGGAATGCAGACGATACTATATTTACCATATAATATATTATCAGCTCTCCTATATTTCAGTCATTTACATAGTTTAAAATAGAACATCTTATTAAAAACATCTAGATATACACAGATTAGGAAACGCTTACAACATACAAATACACAAACTAGAAATAAATCTTTAGCATACTGGTATATACAACGGTGTGATACAATAAATAATTTCAGTCATGCTCTATCTACACATCATATTGCTTAAAAGAAGAGTTGATTTGGAGGGCAGTGGTATGATGAAGGGTTAGGAACTCTCTACGTTTAAATTTGTGCAAATTAAAATAGGATTTGAAGTACCACTGAATTGTGTTAGGAACGCATGGCTGGGAAAACGAAAGGACCCATATTACTGAGGTATTTACAGATACTGGCTAAAGAGCACTATGTGGGCAAATGCAGAAAGGCTTCTTCATGTCTTTACTTCTTAACTGCCAGCATGGCGTCAACTTCCTCCTCCACCTGGAGGGTGTGCCACTGGGCAATGGGTCGCCTGGGATTGGCCAGCATGTCTGACCAATGTCGAAGCTCCGCCCCGGTGCTATTGTAGCCCACAAAGACTTTGCCGATTGCATCGTTCTTGCCAATCTTGTCATAGTCCAAAACAGTTACCACCACTTGCACTTTCTGAAAGAGGATACACAACAAACATTAATATTCCAGTTCTAGAAACAAAGCCCTATTAGGAAGCTTCCTTGAGAACGAAGCAATTGGAAGGACAAAGGACCAACCTCTAGACATCAGGAGAAGCCTGAAAATGAGTTGAACGTGAAAACGTGAGCCCAATTCCTATTTTGCCTTTAATGCGTCATCATTTTCAAAGTATTCAATAAATGTTATTTTTTAAAAAAACATACGTGACACTGTCCTAAAGTCATTTACATGAACCACTTGGTTTACTTCTGGCGATCAATCCTGTCATTGTTGCCTTTATATAAGATGTGGAAGCTCGAAGAAGGTACATAACCTGACTGAGGTCATATATGGAATGTTAGTGGTTTGGTTTCCAGAGTCTGTAATGTAAGCCACTTTCCCATGCTGCCCATGTCGACTTAATTTCACTCTAAATCCATTTGGTTCAATTGTCTCATCTTCATAATTTATGGCGTTGACATTCACATCATTCTTTTTAAAAAAAAAAAAAAAAGATTTATTTATTTATTTATTTATTTATTTATACAGGCACTGGGTACAGTCAGAAGCTCAGGAGGGTGAGAGAATTCACCGGAGACAGAACAGGAAACAGAACAGGCAGACTGATGATACACTGCTGAGGGAAGCAGCGGGCAGCAGGAGAGGTCTGTTGTGCCATGTGGGACCCTCGCTGGTGGCTGGGGATTGAACGGGTGCTGCAGAGGCTGTGGGCAGCTTCTCAACCCAGCGCTCAACTGCTGGCCACCGGGGAGGCCCCACATCATTCTTTTTTTGGTTACAATCCCTCAAACAGCCATGGACTGCAGTCCCATTTCAGGGGAGATCAGCCAGCATTGTACATAAAACTAACGGAATTTTAGCTAATCTCATAATTATTGAGAATATGAAAAGTGACAATAGTGAAAGTCTATAAAAAGTAGTAATGAAGATATTTTTTTCTCATTCATAATTCTCTCAATAAACATTTATTGAGCAACTTCTGTATATCTGGCATTCCATTTCAAAGGAAATGACATTTTAGATCATATACAATTGACTTTCACGATCTGTTAGGTTGTGAAGGTTAATTTAATAACTTCCCTTTTTGAACTATTTGAATTGATTGAAACAAACAAATTATTATATGAAAGAAACACTTTTAAAAGCGCAATTTAGTTCTGCTTCCTAAGTAGTGAATTTGCTTTGTCAAAATATGCATTGGCTCTGATTTAGAAACTGAGTGTAAAGATAAAGAGTTTAGAACAAAGTGGAAAGCATAACATTGGTGACTAGTTAAAAGAAGCAGAAAGCACAATTTTGAAAGCCAGGGCAGGAAGAAGAGAGAGCTGAGTGATATCCTTTAGTGGACTGTGCTCTGAAGGCTGTATTATTGGACCAAGGTACTGAGAGATGGCACTGATGTACAGCTTCAGACCAGAGAAAATGATCATTTCTGAAAGTTGAACATAGCTGTAAAATGCAGGACACTGGCAACAAGGAAACAAGCTTCCCCCTTTTCTTGTGTAGTCTTGGATTGATTCCATTGTCAATGGACTTATCTAGCCATTGGGTGGTATTTGGAAACAAGAACAAAATCAACTTGACTCTGAGAATTTTCCCCAAGAAAATGAGAAAATGCATCAGAATGCAATCATATTGCAGGGAAAGGGGTGGCGTGGCAGAGGGTCTAGGGCCATCGTGCATAAAGGTAATAAGGGTTTTTGAGGTTGCAGTAAGTGAATTTTGATATTCCATATTGAAGGCACTGATTAATAGCACTCAAAACAAAATATTCTTATGATGGACGGCCTTGCATTAATTTTCCTGCATAAAGTTTATTTATACATACTGGAGGGATGTAACATCTTCATGTGTTTCTGGAAATCAACATATTTTGCTTTTCTTACAATGTATTTCAAAGATAGAGACAGAGAAAGACAGATACCTTCATTACTTCAGGATAAAGGAAACCTAATGCCCTATTTTAGCCTTTGAAATGCTCAATTATTTTCTTTGGGGAAATGCAAAGACTAGGAAGTAGCTTCCTGGAAGAGTAAAAAGAGACAGAAACGATTCAAGGAGCAGAGAAAGAAGGATGCAGTAAAAGACATCCCCGTTATTTTCAGGCCTAATGTACTCTATTAAGTTCAGTTTCTCTCTGTCCTGACGAAATGTTGTGTACTTTAAAATGCTGGCCCAGACACCCAGCATGTGTCTTGATTTTAATGTGTGTGTGTGAGTGTGTATTCATATATATATATATATATATATATATATATGCATTTTAACATATATATGCATTTGTTGCAATTTATAGTTGAAAAAGGATGGTTTAATACAAGATACAGAATTTTAGCTCAAAGGAGAAGGTTTAACAATAGGATTTTTCATCTCAATGTCCTGTCTTATAGTGTTTTGTGGAATTAAAAAATAAAACGCCCAAAGGTGTTAGTTTCCATAGGAATAAGGTCTTAGAATTCACAAGAGTTCACTGAACAAATATAGCAAAATAAATTGTTGGAGAAAATTGGATGTCTTAGGATTTTGCCAGGGGGTCTAAGGCAGTAAGCTCATTGGTTCAGGCTAGTGAACTAGTTATCAGAGACAGGGAATCAGTGTCCTCTGCAATGTCATTTGCTCATATAATAGATGTTGAAAGAAAATAAGTATGTACAATTTCCTGCCATGTGAAAATATATGAGAAAGGTAATATAAATGTGAAGATGCTGGTGATTTTGTCTCATTTAAAACTTCCTTACACAATACAGTAGCTACTAGCCATATGTAGTTGTTTAAATTTAAATTAATTAAAATTAAAGTTCCTTGATCACAACAGTGAATAAGTGCTTATTGCCCACCTGTAGTTGGTGGCCACCATATTAGACAGTACAGATGACAAAACATAGTCATTCTTATCCTCTCAGAATTCTAGTGAACAATGCTGACTTATATGTTATTTTAATCTTATTGTCAGATTCATTTTCTATTACAATGTTAGTTTGAAAAGAGACATTAGCATGCGAGTAATAATAATGATGGAAACTATTTACTGAGCGTTTGCTAAGTCTGATGTGCTTTGTTCATTCTAAATGGTTTTTCTTATCAGTATAGTCTTACTTTTTTTTTCCTTTTTCTTTTTTTTAAAGATTTATTTATTTATTTATACAAGCACTGGGTATAGTCAGAAGTGTGGGAGGGTGAGAGAATTCACCAGAGAAAGAGCGGGGAACAGAACAGGCAGACCAACGAAGTACACTGCTGAGGGGAGCAGCGGGCATGGCAGGAGAGGTCTGCATACCATGTGGGACCCTCGCCCTGCGGCTGGGGATCGAATCGGCACTGCAGAGGCTGCGGGCAGCTTCGCAGCCCAACGCTCAACCTCTACGCCACTGGGGAGGCCCTGTATAGTCTTACTTTAACATGAGTTCTGTTGTTCATATTTTATATGTGAGGACATTCTAAGCCTCACTTTCTTTATATGTAAGACTAGGATAATAAAGGCCCCTCTTTGATGGGTCCTGTAAGGAGTAAATGTAAGGATTAAATGCATGGAAAGTGCTTAAATTGGGCTGAGGTAGAAAGTAAATATACAATAAATATAACTATTATATTAATTTTCTTCATGGAATAAATGTGTGATACCTATTAGAGATAGCAAGAAGTAGCACATAACTATTGGATGTGAAATTTGGACTCCAGTAGTCTCACTATGGATGTGAGGTGAGAAAACCTAAATATGTTTTTAAAAATATCACTAAATACTAAGGGCATAGGTATCATTGTGGATACACATAGCATCTTACCTTGAATATGTTAATGACAAAACCTTTTAATGGAATTCTTACTATTATAAAAATAATTATCTAGCAAATCAAGGTTCCATCATAAAAAAAACCCATATATTCCCACCCAGAAACAAGAACTTGAATTTGAACAATTAAAAATACAACTTAACCTAATCTTTCCACTGCTAGTAATCTCATAATGATAAATGATTAAAGATGCTGTATATTTAGCATCAACCAAATTTTTATTTTTATATTTTTAACTATTTATTTTACATATAGTGGCCCAGAGGCAAACAGTAATAACTCATTTTTCTCTTATTTTTTTTGTTACATTTGAGGATTCACTTTTTGAATTAGAGTAGTTATTCTGTTGATTTTCCTTTTCCTACTTTATTTCTGTTCAATAGAATACCAACTGTTTTTCACTGATGAATCAGCACGTCCTATACTATATATTTTATCACTTCCCTTTATGTAGCTCGAGCATTGACTGTACCTGGGAATAGGAATGGAAGTTCTAATGAAGGAAATTTTAATGCATATTGATAATTTATAAAGTCTGTATAATTTATGTGGTCTGAAGAAAAATGAAATTGAATGGACAACAAAATTATATTCAACATTACCTGGATTTGCTCAAAAGGTACTTCAAAGCTGAATGACTCATTGTAGTAGGGGTTAAGTGTATTCTTTTTAATCGTTGTCTTTTTCTTCTTCAGCCTCTTACCATTCTGCATCAGATGAATTTTCACATAAGGATCTGAAAAACAGAAACAAAAAATTCAGAAGATCAGAGACACATGTTTTACATTATAATTTAGTTTATAAAAGCATCAAATATTCACAATAAGAAAATAATTACACAGCATATATTTGACTTTTTAAAAAAAATTAAGCATTCTTTTACTGAAAGTTTGTAAATAATTCACGGACCATGGCTTTTTTTTTTTTTTTTGATGTGTGTGTTTTTGGCCATGAAATCTCAGTATTTATCATGGGATGTAGGAGATGAGAGCAGTGTTGTGCTAAACCAGATCTTTGGGGAAAAGTCTTAACAGGTAGCGTTTGCCAACATCCATAGTATAAATACTCTCAGCATGGCTAATATCAAGCTACTAGCAGTTTAACAACTGGCTTACAAAATTCCTGAAAATTTGACAATTGACTATTGTGAGCTGGCAAAGAACTCACTGCAGCATGCCACTGCACAGGAATAAAACTCTTAACAGAGAGGACAAAGACCCATTCACCCATTCATTTATTTATTCATTTACTCAACCGGTATTAGCTAGGCCTTAGGGATATAGCAGTGAACAAAACAAGCCACTCCTAATTTCATGATGAAACTTCAGCTTGTGGGGGGTAAATAGACAATAAGCTTGTAAAGAAATGAAATTACAAGCTGACCAGAGTGCTCTGGAAGAAAAGAGCAGAATAGAAATACTATAGAGAAAACTGGGAAAAAGTATGGTGAGTAAGGTAGGAATGTTTAGATTACTTAGGTAAAGCTTTGCTCTGTAGGTAACAAGAGATGTGAAGCATGAAAAGTGATAAGAGGCTGTGTGTGTGTGTGTGTGTGTGTGTGTGTGTGTGTGAGAGAGAGAGAGAGAGAGAGAGAGAGAGAGAGAGAGAGTTCCAGAACATCCATTCCTAGATAGAGATGAACTTCAAGGCTCAAGAAAAAAGAAACATAGAAAAGTGGCAGAATTCCCTTAGGATTTTTCCCAAGGACTCACTGGCAAAGGTAGAGTAATTGGTAATTCACTGGAGGAGTAAAGCAATTTCCATTTCCATTCCCCCTACTAATGGGTGAATGATAAACCTTCTTTCTGGTACTAAGCCCACTGCCCACAATGATAGTATTAATCTCTTTCCTGTTTTTCTAAAACATTGTCCTATTTCATATGTAATACATATTCATTATAGAAACAAAATCAGATGGCAAAAAGAAGAAAAAACATTTCAATCATGATTTTACTTCCTTAAAATAACCACTGCTGTCTTCCAGAAGGTCTTTCCTTCCTTTAAGAATGGGTAGAGCTAGAAGAAACTTTACAAAATTTAGTTTGACGCCCACATCATTTTAGAAGATTAAAAACCACAGACCAGAAAAGGTTCTCATCTGCTTCTCCATATTCTACATCCCACTTTCTTTAGATCAATATGGAAGGGGATGTGCTGGGTCCTGTGGCAGTATACCTCATTACTATTTTTCCCACTGATGCACCAATCCACATTCCTACCAACAGTGCACCAGATCTTCCTTTTCTGCACTTCCTGGATAATATTTATTGTTCTCTGTCTTTTTGATAAAAGCCATTCTACCAGGTATGAAGTGATATTTCATTGTGGTTTTAATTTGCATTTTCCCAGGTGATTGGTGATGTTGAAATTTTTTGTTGTAGCAGTTCATGAGCTGTACGTCTTTGGGAAAATGTCTATTTAAATCTTTTACCCATTTTTGAATAAGTTATATATACATTTTGCTATTGAGTATATGAATTCTATAAGATACTAGCCTTTGATCAGATACATGATTTGAAAATCTTCCCTCCCATTCCATAGATTGTTTTTTTTTCATTGTGTTAATGTTTTCTTTTGCTGTGCAGAAGCTTTTTAATTTTGTATTGTCCCCCTTAGTTTTATTTTTGTTGTCTTTGCTTTTGGAGTCAGATCCATAAAATCAAGTTGATACCAAGAATCTTACCACTTATTTTTTTTCAAGATTTTTTTTTTATGATTTCAGGTCTTACATTCAATCCTTTAATCTATCTTGAGTTAATTTTTGTGTATGGGGTAAAATAGTGGCCCATTTTCTTTTTTTCCCCATGTGACTTTCCAATTTTCCCAATACTATTGAGAGTCAAATTTAAAAAAGTCTAGAAAATGATCTTTTGGAAAAGAAGTGATATTCTTTCCAAACTTCTAAGAATAACCACTCTCTTCTTCAAAGCAAAAAAACTCAAAAAGTTTATCTTTATAATTTAAAAAGTTAAGATACAAATCAGAAGATGATAGTTATACATAGATGTTCTGGCAAGTACAGTAAAATTAGTGAGAAAGTATGAAATGTTAGCTGAGAATAATTTTTCAACAAAGATTCACAATGGGGTTTAATGTAATAATATGCCTTTATGTTTATTTGTAATTTATGGAAGATATATTTTAAAAATATTATAACTTTTAATTCTTGCAATAATACTAGTGAGGAAGCTGGGGCTCAGAAGGGCTGATTCCACCCCTGCTCCAAAAAAACAAAACCAGCTGGGACTCAGAAGGGCTGATTCCACTCCCCCACTCCCTCCCCCACCCCCGCTCCAAAGAAACAAAACCAGCATCTTCTGACTCTAGAACTGTTGCTATTTCTAATATGTTAGAGAGACAATTTAATATAGTGTTTTCAAATACAGCCTCTGGAGCCAGACTAACTCTGCTACGAGCTGTGTGGTCTTGGACAAGTTATCTGACCTCTTATTGCCACAATTCTTTCAAGTAAACGTGATGAGAATGATAATACCAAGCTCATAGAATTGAGCAATTAAATTGAGTTGCTGCGGGGAACGTGCTTCAAGGTTTACCTGGTACATATTATTATAATTATTAATTGTTATTTTAGTTTCACAAACAATAAAGTCAGCATTTATGTATCAGACTCTCCCCCCATATTACTTTGCTGGATCAGTGCACATGATTAGCAAATGAGAAAAAAGTCAATTTGCTACAGAAGTGAGCCACATTGTTCCAAGTGCCAGGTTTATTTCTGGAAAGCAGCATACCTACTTTAAGCATCTGATTAGTTCATGAAGAATTTAGTTGATGACTTCCTTTTGAAAGAGAGAACCAAGCAAAGAGACCATGTGAAGGTAAATGGCAACAGAAACAAGAATGTGAAGGGGGGCAGTGAACTAGTTTTTACCTTGTAATGTGAAGACAATGTTCTAAGGGGACAGAACAAAATAGGAAGATCCTGAGTCCCATACCTAGGCTTAGAACTCCTCCTTTTCCACTTTCATTCTTTTCCTATCCAGAATGAGGCACAGGACACAGGAAATCACTATGTTGAAGCTACAATGATATAATTTGCTAAGTCACCTACTGAACCTTATCACCAAGTGAAGGGCTTGCAGAGGATTTCAGGATGGTGACCAGATGAATGTTTTTATCTTAAATGCCATGCAGGGAGCAGGGTATATACCTTGTTTGATTGATTTTGTGATTACCTGGTCATCTCTAGCTTATGAGGGCATTCCAAAGCTCTGCGAGTTAGGAGGTCCTTTGGAATATAATGCATGTGGTCTGATGTGATTCTCTTTTGTTTATTTTATCCCTATTCATGCATTAATTATGAGGGGAAAATCTCTCACATTAATTGGCAGGAGTTTCCTTTCCAAATGGTTTCTTCCAACAGCTAATTCTTAGCCCTGCCGCTAACTCTAGGTGGAGCCCACCTTAACTCTAGGTGGAGTGAGCTGTCACCTACATGTGGTCCTTCTGACATTGCATCCCATCCTACTGTCTTTCACCTGATACACCTTGGGTATGAGTCAAGCAATTTCTTTTGGTCAGGGAGTACAATGGGGGAGGGCACATGTAAGTCCCTATTTTCTTCCAGCTACTGTGTTTACCACCCACTATATTGCCAAATGCTCGGTTGATTTGAGGACTTCAACTATTTTGGAGAGAATGGAAATGGGCAGGCTTGGTGTGGTGATCAAAAGAAACCCCAGAAGTTCTCCAGATAGTTCTTGATCCCACCATAGCTGGAACTGCCATGGCATTTGTTATGGGCTAAATATGTTCTCCCAAAATTCATGTTGAAATTCTAACCTCCAGTGTGATGGTATGAGGCGCTAGGATCTTTGGGCAGTAATTAGGTCATGAACGTGGTGTCAACATGATTTATAAGAAGAGACACTGGAGACATTTCCTCCATATGTGGATACAAAAAGACAACTGTAAACCAAGAAGAGAACCTTTATCAAGAAACCTGCTCTCAGACTTCCAGTCACTATCCTAATGAGAAATAAAGTTAAAAAGACTCAGTTTACAGTGTTTAAACCACCGCTTAGCAGGCTGAACTAAGATAGCCAAAATCTCTCTTCCTCATTTTTTTCCTCTGGTGGGAACTGATCCTCTGTTTTCTCCCTTCTCTTTATTGGCTCCAGATGACTTGCAGCATTTCAAAGTGTGTTTTATGCATTTAATCACATTTAATATTATTTTCCATATACATTTAATAGGATTTTTTTCTCTACACTACGTTATTCAGTCATCTGCAGTGCAACCTTAGGCTTCCATATCATTGCTACCTTTGTTTTTTTTTTTTTTTTTACATTTAAAATTTTGGCCATATGCATATATTTTATTTTATTATTTTTTTTTTTCCAAAAAAGATGAGTGCTGTTTATTTCTTTGGTTGAATTTAGAACCCAGTAAAACTGCTCTACATTCTGTAGCTACTGACACTAATACACATTTTTTTTCCCTCTTGATGATCACTTGCCATCTGCCATTTCTTCTTTTTTTTTTTTTAATAATAAATTTTATTTTTATATTCCCCCATACAATTGCAAATGCCCCATTCTGACCCCAATCCTTCCCCTCCCGCCCCCCACCCCCCAAAAGTGTCTCTGGTTCATAGTTTTTTGTTGATTTTGATTTTCACTTTCTTATATTCATTTTCCTGGTCCTTTATTTAAGTTTTCTAGATTCCTGCTATGAGTGAGACCATCCGGTATTTTTCTTTTTCTTTTTGGCTTATTTCGCTGAGCATGATCCCTTCCAGCGCCATCCATGTTGCTGCAAATTGCATGTGTTTATCTTTTTTGAATGCTGAGTGATATTCCATGGTGTATATGTACCACATCTTCTTGATCCAGTCATCTATTTTTGGGCATTTGGGTTGTTTCCAAAGCTTAGCTATTGTAAACAGTGCTCATTGCTACCTTTGTTAAGCAAAGTCTGATCACAGACTCTGGCACTGGAATGCAGTATTTTCAACAAAAATGGTGTCACTGGCATAGTTTCAACATGTAAAGTACATCTCCCAATATAGAGAGTAATCTTAAATGAAGACTTTCAAACTAAGCACAAAACTCAGGAAGTGGTATTTCCTTAACTACAGGAACACAATAGGTAGGCTTTGCAGAAACATTTATGTACAGTCCCTGTGCTGCTATACTATAAGGTCATAACTGCCTCTGCTCTTCTCTGATCTTGCAGACAGAGAACTATTGAGCTTCCACCTCCTCCTTAAGCATGTTCTTGTACCATGATTCCAGCTTCATGGACCAAAAAAGTTAGAATATTTTGTGGTTAGAAATTTGGGGCGAGGGCCTCCCTGGTGGCGCAGCGGGTTGAGTGCTGCTCTGTGAGGCTGTCCACAGCCTCTTCAGCATGGGTTCGATTCCTGGCCGGCCAGGGAGATTCCCACATGGCGGAGCAGACCTCTCCTGCCTCACTTGCTGCTCCCCTCAGCAGTGTATTTCTTCAGTCTGCCTGTTCTGTTCCCCACTCTGTCTCTGGTGAATCCTCTCATCCTCTCGCACATCTGGCCTGTACCCCAGTTCTTGTATAAATAAATAAATAAACAAACAAACAAATAAATAAATCTTTTTTTTTAAAAAGATGAACTTTGGGAAGACTATGCACTTGTAATATGGGAGCTTCTTCCATTGCTGCTCCACATTCTAATGCCCGAGAACATTGTCACCCCCTTCTTCCCTTAGGCAGTTCTAATGTCAAATTATGCTATCTTCATAGAAATATAATTGCAAAACAGCTGGCTGTAAGCAATGATCCTTTTGTGTGAGATATAAAGGAGCCACTAAAGGCTTTTTGTCCCATTTACAATGAGAACTAGAAAGCAGCAGTTCAAAGCTGAATAATGCAAGTCGCCTGCAGTTTTCATTTTGGTAATTTTGCATAATTATACTGTCTTCTTTCTTAAATACCACAGTGACCATGGGCCCTCGAAACCGTGGCCTTTCCATTTCAACCAAAAGCTTCTCTTGATAAGAAATAGCCTCATTTCAGCTGTTTTGTTCAATCCCTTCTGAGTCAGTATGGAGTTCTGAGTAACTTCAGGTATTATTCCTTTGATGTTTTATTGTGTGGATGTATTCACGAAATTTTAAGTTAGAGTGATGTGTGAGGAATGTAATACTTGCATCAATAAGCATTCTGAATTTTAAGTGACCATAACCCATTTTAAAATGCTGTAAAATTTAAAGGTAACTTACTGGCTTATATGATGGGAAAATCCAAAAGTAGGACTGCATAGAAAAGATTATTAGTTGTCCCAGAAGCTCAATTCCCCCCTTCTTTTTTAGTAATAGAAGTCCTAAAGTTTTACCTGGGTATCAGTTTGCCCAGTTAGAAATATTTCTCCCAGATTTTCCTATACCTCAGTATGGTATAACAACTGACTTCTGACTATTGGATATAAATAGAAGTGATGTTTGTAAACTCTACAGCATATCCTTAAAGCAGTGGTGCTCTACACTGGTCTACTTTGCCCCATGCAGACATTTTGCAATTTCTAGAGACATTATTGCCAGGGTAAGTCCTGAGTTCACTCTGATGGAACTAGCAGAGGTGAAATATCTACTCTATGGTAATCCCTGTGAAGCAGACAATGTGATGAGCTACGTTGACTTTGTTCCTCCTTAATTGGAGGAACAGAGGTTGTCTTGTGGGCATCAAGGGTGCAGAGGCCAGGGATTCTGCTAAAAATACTACATCACACAGAAGAGTCTCCAGAAGTAAAGAATTATCACACCCAAAATGTTGATAGAGCTGATATTGATAAATCTTGGTTTAAAATAAGCTTTATGCCACATGCCTGCCATTCTTCCTTTCTTTTTTCTTGCAACTGAAACAAGGATGTGAAGGAGGGCAGTGAACTGATTTTTACCTTGTAATTTGAAGGCAGTGTTCTAAGGGGACAGAACAAAATAGGAAGATTCTGAGTCTCTAAGTGACCACACAGGCCAGAAATGCCTACCAATTTTGTCCACCTGCCTTTGGCTATGGGGGAGAAAAAGAATTTCAAATATAAATTCAATCTTTTTGGGCCACTGTATCTTGGAATATCTTTGTTATAGTAATTCAGTCTGTCTCTATCTAATACAGATTCAACATCAGCAAGTTTCTAGGTTTGACTATATCTTTTTTTTTCCTATGGAATCCTCCTCAAATTCCTCAAAAACTTTCTATATTTTCCTCTTAAGGATGCAAATGACCATACCAGCTACAAGTGTAAATCATCATCTTATACCATCCAACGGAAGAGAATGCCTACATCAGAATTGCCAGGGTAAGCCCTGAGTTCACTCTGATGGAACTAGCATAGGTGAAACATCTACTCTATGGTAATCCCTGTGGAGCAGACAATGTCATGAGCTACGTTGACTTTGTCCTGGGTCATGGATCCATCCATAAACCAATCAAGAGGACCAAGAGCCCTACCATTGAAGCTGGGGGTAGGCTCAACTTTAAGCACAAGGCTAAGAGGAGAAACACATGGTGGTTCCCCAAACAGGAATTAAAAGGTTTTTTCCAAGGGAGGGGAGAAATAGAAACTGTCAAACAACTAACCGGTGTTTACAGTTTCTTAACCTAGGGTCTCTAGGATCCCAGCTCTTTCAAAATTTGGAGGTATGTATACACTTGTGGTAGAGAGACATTTGCTTTCCACTTGAGATCAAGTTCCTAGTAATGAGCCACAAAATATTTGTCCAAAGTGATCCCAGCAGTAGCAGAGACAGCAGATTTGGGATTCATAGTTTCTTTGCCAAGTGCAGCTTTTCCTCATGCCAATCAATAAGCTCATCATTTAACAGTATACAAATAATTAAATAGTAATAAGGTTCACAGAGCAAACAATTTCCATCGCTGGCATTTACAACACACTTACTTGTGGGGATCTTTAATAATTTAAAAGTACTTAGAGAAGACTGCATTGAAGAGTTTATCTGTCTTTATAGTTTAAAATGTTCCCTGTAATGTTATAGTAAGGATCAGCATTAAAAATATATTTTGGGGAAATTTTCTATGTGAGCACACAATTTAAATATGAATTTACATTCGTTAAGTGCAGTGTTTGCTAGAAGAAAACAACATTACATAAGTGACTGCCACAGAGAAAACCAACCTCATTTTAATGAGACAGATCATAAAATAGCAAAGGCTGATTTAGTTCATTAATGGTGGCAGAGTGCTTTGAGGAGACAAAAAAAAATGCAAAGTGCTATTATTATGAATTAAACAGAAAGCATTTTTGTTCATGGTGGAGAAAGCTACTGAATTGCAATGGTTCTTTCTAATATTGCCAAATGGACACTGTGTGACTGCCAGTCACTTGACTAAAACATAGGAATGCCTATAAAACCACTGGAAAAGAAGAGTAGAGTAAAGGAATATTTGACAAAAGGGGTATCTTTACGGGCAGGTAAAAGAGCAGTTGAGGGTTTGAAGTCTTCCATCAGTAGAGGGAAGAGTCTAGTGTGTTTGCACAATCAGAATGTTTTGGGTTAAGTTTTTTTTTTTTTTTTTTTTGGTGGGACCCTCTCCGGTGGCTAGGGAACGAACTGGTGCTGCAGAGGCTGCGGGCAGCCTCGCAGCCCAGCGCTCAACCGCTGCGCCACCAGGGGAGGCCCTGGGTTAAGTTTTTTAATCTAAAGTTCTTCATCTATAATTCCATATTCTTTTCCATGTACTTTGGAAAGTCTTTTGGGAAGGGCAAACACATGAGAGAGGAAGTAGTAGTGATTATGCTTGAGTCTTTGATGACTACTAAGAGTTTGGTGGAATCCCCAAGAATAAACTGTTTGTATGAGCGGAATAACAAAAACACAAATGGTCAAATGATTCAGTAAAGCAAACAAAATTGCAAATGGCAAATTTGATTTGACTCTTCCTTGGTGAGCAGGAGACTTGAACCTTCATTTCTTAGTTATGTCAGATAAGAAGTCACTAGTTAAGTTTTTTTTAATGATAATATTTATCCTTTTTGTTTGATAAAATAACACTGGTAGCATTGTCACTGGGTATCATTACTAGGATTTTTTTTTTTTAAGATTTATTTTTATTTTATTTATTTATTTATACAAGCACTGGGTACAGTCAGAAGCACGGGAGGGTGAGAGAATTCACCAGAGCCAGAGCAGGGAGCAGAGCAGGCAGAGGGACCTAGGTACACTGCTGAGGGGAGCAGCGGGCTGCAGGAGAGGTCTGCGCGCCATGTGGGACCCTCCTCCGGAGGCCGGGGAGCAGCCAGGGATCGAACCGGCGCTGCAGAGGCTGCGGGCAGCTTTGCAACCCAGCGCTCAACCGCTGCGCCACGGGGGAGGCCCTCATTACTAGGATTTTTAAGCACATGTAATATGACAAGTGATGCTAATTCTTATCCACAGAGACAGTTTCTTGGCAAGTCAAAATGAGTACACAGTGCAAGCAAGGTGAGTACATAACTGCTCTTGCACATAACATGATGAACTGGGGTGAGTCCTCTTTAGTGGGGTTACCTCAGGCTCACCCACTCACTCTAGCAAAAATCAGTTTTACTCTCCTTAACCTCCTATTCCTCACAGATACTTGCTTCATAATGTCTTCTAAACATTCTGCCATCTGAGCATAGAAAGTTTATGGACTGAGACTGTCTTAGGATAATAGAAGGAGAGATTTGGAAATGTTTCCAGATGGAGTAGAGGAATCTTTCCATTTCCTCATTTTGCTCTGTTTTTAGGACTTGTCAACACTCTGGTTATATTTCTCAGGGAGTGAAGGAATGACCCTCAAGTTTACTTAGCTAGAAGCATCTCGGTGCATCTTCCTTTGCTTAAGAAAAAATTTCAGGGGCCTCCCTGGTGGCACAAGGGGTTAAGATGCAACCTATGAAGCTCACTGCAGCCACTGCAGCATAAGTTCGATCCCCGGCCAAGGAGGTGACTCATATGGCGCAGCAGACCTCTCCTGACTCGCCCGCTGCTCCCCTCAGCAGTGTAGTTCAGTCAATCTGCCTGTTCTGTTCCCCACTCTGTCTCTGGTGAATCCTCTCACACCCTACACCTCTGGCCTGTACCCCAGTTCTTGTATGTATAAATAAATAAATCTTTAAAAAAAAAGAAAAAAATCATTAATGTTTTTAGGAGGGTTTCTCTCCTTGCGCTGCACCCCTGATATTGTTGAGCCTGTGTACCTAGGAAAGGATGAACAAGACAGTTGTAATTTCCCTTTTAGAAAAAGAGAGATGATTTTAAGACTCAAAATGTTGTTGATAATATATATGTTCCCCCTTTGATTTCAGATTATACAGTATTAATAATGCATGTCCTGTTTTATTGTTTTTTTTTTAAACAAAATTTTGAACACCCTCATTGGTTGCTGTTAAGTTTCTTTATTTAAATGTTGATTTCCTTATCCTTCCAGAGAGAGATTTCATTTGGTTCATTAATGGCCAAATATGGTTCTCTTTCACAGAGCAGCAAAACTGTTTGCGATCAGCTGCTGCTCTGCATGTCAAGAAGATAAGTAGCTTTACAGGAGAGATCAACTTCTACCTTGGTAATGTGGTTTTCTTACAATATTATAGGGAGAAGATAAAAATAAACTATGGCTTCAATATTATACTGAATATAGGAAAATGGCATGAAGTAATAGGATTCTGAGGTAATTTTACTGCTTTTTAGGAAGCAAATTTGTGATTAAAGTCAATCACCACATATTTGTATTTCAGATCTCAGTAAAAACTCACAATAATGTTATTACATATTCTGATTTCTTTGGAATCAAAAACATCTAAGAGGCTTTATGCCTAAATCTGGGAGTAGTGAGAGTAAGGATATGAGTTAATCAAATCTTTATATAGAAAATCTGCTTCCTACAAAATGGTTTAACTCTTTACAAGACTCCAGAAAAGGCCGAGAGGTACAAATACAAAGGCTGGTCTTAATTTCCCCACATTTTCCATTGTCTTGAATCACAGACATTCTACTAGATTAACATTTCTCACCTTGATGACTTTAGGTTTAAGAGAAATCAGGTGGTTATTCCATTTTTCTTGATATTATTCCTTACTTCTGTAGGAAGACTCTTCCACTGGTTCAGTCAGCCAGACATTTACAGTGTGTCTATCATGTGCTAGATGTTTCTCTTTCCTCCTGTGTCCTGCTCAGTCCTGATTCCACATGCTTGACACAGGGTCTGGCACATGGTAGGAACCTAGCATATATTTGCCAAATGGCTAACTGAATCTGAAAAATAAGTACCTGTTGAGCCTTTGATTGGGGAAGGGAGGAGAAATATAGGAGAAATTGTTGGGGAAGGGAGGAGAAATATAGAAAACTACAGAGCCCAGTTTGTTCTTTGGAGAGCTTACAGTTAATTTGGGAAGAGAAGACAAAAGTTTTCTGACAGGTTAAGTTTAAATCAGCCCACATATTTTTCTAGTAGGAAAGATAGCCTAAGATGGTGTATGTTTTCTTGCTAAATGATTTGTATAGTGATAACTGTAAGAGGATTTCAGAGCAGACAGACACCCTTTACTTAGTTGGAAATTCTTGTTTGATTTCAAGTGTCTACATTTAAGGAGTCTAAACAAGTTTCGCAAAGAGAGAACAAACCTTTTCTTAATTCTGAAAATTATTTGCTCTCATATCTTCTCCCTTCACCACCACAAACAGATGTCCAATTTTGTAAGACATAAACACAGTTATGTTTGGATAGTTTTCACACTGATGTTGAGAGCAGCAGATAACAGTAGACCAATTGTCTTTCTCTGAACTTGTTTTTTCTTTGGCCTTTTTCAGTCTTCTTGTGTATAATGGAATTTCATGGTTACATTAACATGATTTTCATAAATATGTAGTCCATACATTTTAAGATGGCTTAAATGGCATTTTATGTGCTACACACACTTTTAAAAACTGCAATATCAGATCTGCTCCAGCCTGTATGTCTAAGCTTCATTAACCAAATGTAACTCCTTGGGTACCCATTAGCTTTGAGTACACATTGCCTTCAGGTGGTCCTACCTGGGGAAGAAACCTTCAAAGACCTGATGAATCATCTTAGCAGGGAACTTTGGGGTTTCAGGTACCCATTCCTGCTATATAATGAAGAGCTGATTGCAGACTCCAAATGAGTATGTTTTCTTGGGTTTGTGAGCTCCTTACTCCCTGGGGCTGTAGCTAGGAGAGGAATAGAGTGGGGCCCTCTAAACTCAGGTTTCCTTCCTATCTAGGTTTAAGCACAACACGGCATAATCTTTCCAAATTTTACAAAACTATTCTCAGGCACAGTGATGATTTATCTCACTTGGACTTCATGACCACCCTTATGGGTGGGTGTTCTGCCCTCCATCTCGCAGGTGAGCAGCCCGAGATTAAGTAATATTAGTTATCACAGAAGTCCTGTCACTTTGAACATTCATCCTAAGTCAACATTTGTAAACTTTAGACTATATATTTTATAAAGAGGGATGATTAAAATATGATCTAACTTCTTGTATTGCTTCGGTCCAGGAATTATGCTATAACTTAAGGCCCATTTCTTAGTTAGACTGCTAGACACTGAAGGATCTGACTTTCCTACCTATTTCACCAGCTTCACTTCTCAGGGTGCTCCCCCTTGCTGCCTCCACTCCAGTCCACCTTGGCTTTACCTTGAGTGCAGGCAGCTCTTCCTTCTCTGGGGCCTCATGCCTAGAAACCTCCTCTTTGTGTACCTACTCCATGCCTCTTTAATTGAGCTCAGCCCTGATGTCACTTCCTCATGGAAACTCTTAACTATCCATTTTAAAGCAGTTTTTCCTTTTATAATTCTCATAGGATGGCTATCATCCACTGAAATGATGGTAAATGGGGAAAACAGCTGATTTATTCAATAATCAATTTCCTCAGCTTCTAATAGCTAATAGTCTAATAGGTGCTACTCCAGATAGAATAGAACTTGACAAAACTTACCAGCTAGAATAATTGTAATGAGTCAATATATCACTTAACCTTTTGAAATTTGTGTAAGAGACACAATTGATGTTGCTGTTACAGGGTTGTAACTTTTTCCTTTTCTATCATTTTCTAGATAGCTTCCTGAAGTGAGCGGGTATGCAGGTAAACATCCTCAGATATAGGGCTATTAATGATTTGTATTGAGTCTCTAGTAGTTAAGAGCATAATTTATTAGAGGAGAAGGAATAAGCTATGGAATCATTTTTGGAGAAAAATTATTCCACATCATTTGTCAGAAGGTTGTGTCCTATTTGTATAACAAGTTTATCTCTTAGGCGGCTGTGAAATATTCTTTTTCCTTGAATAAATGCCTGTGGTCTGGATGAGGTTAGAACACTCTGTTCTCATTCTTCCCAGTTTAGCTTCAGAGTGGGAAGGTTTTTGGTGCTAAATGCTGAGCAGTGTCATCTTTAGGAGTGAAGATTAGGCACAGAGGAGGTATTCCAAATAGGTATTCCAAATTTGTAGAATTGTTGAGCTGAGTCAGGGATCTGATTATGAATTTTGTTGATGATTGGATAATTAAGGTTCCAAGTCTAGTTTCAAAAGGGTTAATTCTTTCTTTTTTTTTTAAAATATTTATTTATTTATTTATACAAGCACTGGGTACAGTCAGAAGTTCGGGAGGGTGAAAGAATTCACCAGAGCCAGAGCAGGGAGCAGAACAGGCAGAGTGAGGAAATACATTGCTGAGTGGAGCAGCGGGCGTGGCAGGAGAGGTCTGTCGCGCCATGTGGGACCCTCGCCCGGTGGCCCGGGACTGAACTGGCGCTGCAGAGGCTGCGGGCAGCTTCGCAGCACAGCGCTCATTGCGCCAGGGGAGGCCCTCAAAAGGGTTAATTCTAACCAAATAGTGTTGGATGTACATATACTTCAAACAATTCACAACTTGTACTTAATCTGAAGGTCATCTTAAAGGGACAGTTAAATATCTTTATTGAATAAGTGAATATGAGGGCAGACATGTTCTAAGAGAAGCCTACCATTTATGGGTGGTGAATTAAATGAAATTACTCCCTTATGCTTTTAGTGCCTCTTTTAAGAAATGGTACAAATGATCCAAAGGCCATATGCCATTAAATGATAGTATTGCTTTTTAGGAAAAACTGTTCCTATCCAACTCTTTTAGATGGAGAGGAGTCAACACTTTACAGATTGGAGTTAAAATTTAGCTTAAAAAGTATTGGGCTAAGCTAAATTTAGCTAAAAAATTTAGCTAAGAAATTGTTGGCTAAAATATTTCCCTTTCAAAGTGTATCTCTCTTTCAAAAATGTTGAGTTATAGCTGTTTAACTGAAAGAAATTTTTTTTACAATGGGATTTTCAACATGACTGACCAATCTAAAGAATTTAGTGTGGTAACTGCTGTGAATTTGATTTTGCCCTCAATTCAGAATAAAGTGATTTCAGGCATAAGGACACATCTACAGTACAGAAATTGAAAATAGAACCAATATGAGGCACTTAATCACTTTGACTTAGAATTCTCTGTGAAAAAACAGACTTGTATATGGTTTAAAAGGGGAGGTGCCTATGTAATCTTGTGGGACAGTCACTGCAAACATGAAGAAATGAAAACTGAGTTAGAACACATGGCCAGGGAGATTCTGGAAGTTATTGGAGGGCAAATTATATAATGAATCAGGTTTGCTGAGGTGTCTAGTACTTTGGGAGATGATATAAGAAGACAATTGAAAGGACAGACACCCTGCTAATTCCTCGGATGATTTTATTATGGGTGAGAGATGAGAACAGAAAAAGGATCACACCTGAAAATATGAGAACACATATAAAACTGACATGAAATATCATCTCATTGGGTGAGGAGGAGGAAATCATGCCTGCTTGTCCTCTTTTGGTTAATGTTGGCTTATGTTGTTATTGCGGCTTCTTTGATCATAATAAAGGTATAACTTTTATAAGGGCATGTTAAAATAAAACCAAACATTTCTTTTTTTTTTTTTTTTTTATAAGTGGGGCACGGGCCAGAGTCGTGGGGGGTGAGAAGATTCACCAGAGAGAGCGGGGAGCAGAACAGGCAGATGTACACTGAAATACACTGCTGAGGGGAGCAGCAGTCGAGACAGGAGAGGTCTGCCCATGTGGGTATCTCCCTGGCCTGCCAGGGATCGAACTTGCACTGCAAAGGCCACAGACAGTGTCACAGTGCTGCGCTCAACCCCCTGCGCCACTAGGGAGGCCCCAAACATTTCTTAAAAAAAAAAGACATTAGTTGAAGTATCAATCTCTTCTCTAAGGAACAGGAAAATGAAGGAAAAACAGGCAATTTAAAATCTTAAAAAGCCAGATCTGTAGACAATCACAAACACAAATTTCCCAGGAAAATTGGGAGGCCAAATAGAAGTGAGAGTGTTGACTTTGTGGCATAATTCTAAGGAAATCAAAATAGCTCTCAAGTAGTCACAGTTTATTTAGGAATTTATATGGCCAATCAATTGGTTTGTAAAAATCAGTCCTCACCAACCACTTGCAACCTCACTTCAGCACCCCTAGCAAATCCTCAGAAAACAGAGGCCGAGCAAGAAAAAGAAACTTTTCAAATGGAAGCTATGTTAACATTGCTGAGAAATCAATCCAACCATGGCTGTGCATTTCAAATTGTGGAAAGAGGAAAGATGTCTATATGTTTATGTCTGCTGTGGTTTGCACTGCCTGCTTTACTCTTGAAGCGCTTAAACACAACTGTCATTTCTCAAAAACCTTTGCAAATCCTAATAATGAACAAAACACCACACACATACACACAATCTATGACATTTGTTCATAAAGCCACTTTCAGGGAGAGAACATTCATTGGTAAGACTCTCTGTGGTTGGTTGTTTTCTAGCAATGCAGAAATTCCTCTAAATAGGTCATCATAATACTGATAATCATCTCCACGGTAACCAGCTTTTAGGACAACTGGCTGAAGATCACATTTCTGGATGGGGGAAATTACATTAGAGGCATAGTAGTGACACAAGAAGATGCAATCTAGTGCCATTCAAATCCCCTTATAAGTACAACATTATCAAATATTCTCTTCATAATCTGAATTAAGTAGTATTTATTTAAGAGGCCTTTGTAGGTTATGCTCAGTCTGTTACTGTATGCACTAGAAGGCACAAGTGCTTGGTTATTTCCTTTACTATTTGGAGTTCCAAATTTCTTAACATAAGCAAAATTGAGTCTCTGAAGAAGAGCATCCAATACATGGAGCTGGAAATGTATTCACAATAAAAAACACAAGTGCTTGGTTACTTCTTTTACTGATTAGCTCTAGGTGCTTGGAACTTTTTTTTAAAAAAGATTTATTTATTTATGCATACAGGAACTGGGGTACAGGCCAGGGGGCAGGGTGAGAGAATTCACCAGAGACAGAGTGGGGAACAGAACAGACAAACTGACTGAAAGACACTGCTGGGGAGCAGTGGGTGAGTCAGGAGAGGTCTGCTGTGCCATGTGGGTAGCTCCTTGGCTGGGGATCAAACTTGTGCTGTAGTGGCTGCAGGTAGCTTCACAGTACTGTACTTAACCCCTTGTGGCACCAAGGTGGCCCCAGTGCTTGGAACTTTTAAAGCTAACCCAAAGCCCATGTCTTGATAGAAGTTTAGAGATAGATATTTGTTCTCATTTCCTGTATGCCCGTCACTATCTGTATAGAGGTTTGACATATTTGGAGAGATATTGGTTTCTTATGGAACTGTGCAAGAACAGTCTTAAGCATGGATATCATGAAATTGAAGAACTCTTCTGACAAATGTGCTTTCTAGATAAGAGAGAATCTAATTTTTCAGTGTCTGGGGATAAGACTAAGCAACTTCTTAGAAGAACTTCAAAGTTTAAGTCCTTGAAATGTTTTTAGCCAAGAGTAACTGGCACAAGACCTAAACAAACCACTTCAGCTTTGTCTTGTTGTTTTTTAAATTTGTATTTTATGGACTTTGATAGTCTGAGGTAGATGTTATTTCATGGAAATTTCTTATTTGCTGATTATAAGGTTGGATATTTGGGTTGGAAGAACTAGTTAAGGCCTCAAGCTGCAGGTGACAGTGAAAACAATATAGAATCTTTTTCACAATTAAAAAAAAAATGAGTCAGTACAATGAGAAGCACTGGCTCCCTCCTCCCCCATAATAAATAAGCGACCAAATAAGGCAAGGAGTGTTACTTAATAATATGATACCAAACCAGAACAAAACATAGGAAGAAACACACAATCCTGCAAAATTCTAGCCAAGGAAAACAAAGATTCTGAAGTGACACAGTGCAGCACCCAACCCTGACCTCCTTCTTTGCTCTCTGAAGATTTATTGAATTGATGACTCCTAAAACTTTTACTGCTGTCCTCCAATCTGGAAAGAAAACTAACACATGACTATCCTTATTTCTCCTTTTGAATGAGGGGGTGCGTAGTTAGGCCAAACTGGGCTGTTTCTCTCTGATTTCATATTGTATCTGCAAAGATAATACAATAAATATAAACTTATGAGAAGGGGATTTTTGTCTCATTTGTTTACACAGCTGAAGTCCTAGTGCCTAGATCAGAATGCTTGGCAGTGACTAAGTACTCACTAAAAGTTTGTTGAGTGATTGTGGAAACAAATCTCAGAGTGCTTCCCTTCAGGGTGAGTATGATTCTTTTTTTTTTTTAAGATTTATTTATTTATGCATACAAGAGCTGGGGTACAGGCCGGAGTTATGGGGAGAGGGTTGAGAGGATTCACCAGAGACAGAGTGGGGAACAGAAGAGGCAGATTGACCAAAGTACACTGCTGAGGGGAGCAGCAGGAGAGACAGGAGAGGTCTACTGCACCATGTGGGTTAGCTCCCTGGCCTGGGATTGAACTCGTGCTGCAGTGGCTGCAGATAGCTTTGTAGTGCTGAGACTTAACCCCTTGTACCACCAGGGAGGCCCATGAATATGATTCTTGATTTGAAGGAATGTGTTCAAAACACCTATCAAAATCACAGAAGCTCTGATTCACGCACATTTCACACACACTAACAGAACTTTCCCTTCTTGACCCCTCAATTTAATCTGTATTACAGTGCATGGTACTCAATACCAATTTCTCAAACCATAACTCAGGGGGAATCAAGTCATAGTCAGTGGAAATGGTGTCAAGAAGATGACACTATACAAGGAGAAGAAGGTCTACATAGAGTCATTCAGGTATGAATAGACTGAGGCAGGGAGGGATGGTGACAAATACCCAAACATACTAAGGCTATGCTTCCAAATGGAAACAAGCAACACTGAGCAGCTCTTAGAAGAAAGGAACATACTTGCAAAATGATGATTTAAAAAAAAAAACTTTCTTAAAGAAAACATAATCCAAAAAAACACAACAACATTCCTTACAAAGAGCTTTTGTACTATGAATCAAATTAATGAGAACATGAACTCAGAAAAATATGAGCTTGAAGATGAGATGATAGAACAACAGGGAAGTTACAGAATTAAGGAGGTGGAGGACAAAACAATTTTATAGAACAAATAAATAAATGTGACATAGCAAGGAGCAATATAAACGTGGCTACAAATAAAATTACTGACCTAGAAGAAAGGCTTGTAAATACAAGGAAACTAAAGGAATAAAAGATAATAGACTGGAGTTCCACATTCCTTAATGTTAGCAAAATTGATATCCCTGCAGAAGAGAATTCAACAAAGGAGCAGGAAACATATTCATAAATACCATACAAGGAAATTTCTCTAAAGACAAGTATAATGACATCTGTAGACAAAAAGATGTTCTGGATATATTAATAACAGAATGCTCAACAATACAAGCATAAATCCCACCTTGAATCACTGAAATTCAAGAATAAAGACATGTCTTAGGCATTGGAGCAGATTTAAAAAAATAAAAAGCAAGTTAGGTTGGCCTCAAATGTCTCCACAATAGCAGTTATGACACAACATGTCAGTAAACTTCAGTCAAGGATGATACATAATTGGGCCTCTCAGATTCCTGGTCTCTGAATAGGAAGGATAGTGCAGCCAACCTAAAGTCAACCTACAGCAGTCATTTCCAAGTTGTCTTCTGAATTCTAATCTTGTGAGTTGTTCTATAAAAAGGGAACTAAGGACAAACCATTTGGAAACACAGAATCTCTAAAAGTTTTCCTTTATAATACACATCAGCATATAAGTGACTCCAAGGCATTTTTTATTAGAGATATTCGATTATCTTTTTTTTTTTTTTTTTTTTTTTTTTTTTGTGGGACCCTCGCCAATGGCCGGGGATTGAACTGCCGCTGCAGAGGCTGCAGGCAGCCTCACAACCCAGCGCTCAACCGCTGGACCACCGGAGAGGCCCTCAATTATCTTTTTAAAAATATTCTTTAACCCAATATATCCTTGAAATAAGTTTTACTCTCCAGGATACCTATTAACATCTTGCTAAAACGTGTTTGACAGATACATTGGAGAAATTTTAATCTACTATGTTGAAGTGGAAAAAGATTTAATAACTCAAAACAGTAACCAATACAAAAATGATTCGTATTTTTCTATTTTTCCCCCTTGAGGATAGCAATACTGTTTTATTATGCATTCATTCATTTTAAAGAAATCTTAAAATCCAGTTCCAGGAAGGAATAAGTACTCAAGCAAAGTGCTGGTTATAGGATCACTTTGAAAGTATTAACAGTAAACTCCCTTCTGAAGCAGTCATTTACATCTTTTTGCGCAGCTCAGTTTCACATCTGCTTTGTTTAAAGGAATGTATCTTTGAAGGCTGCATTCCCACCATGAAGCACTGGACATGACAGTACTTCAACTCAATACAAAATGAGAAATTCGAGGAGGTATACTGAAACTGAACACTGTTTTTCTTCCTTAGGAACCAAGAACAGTGTAACTAGGGAAGCAAAGGAGTAAATATCTTCTCTTCCAGGAAACAAACAAACAAACAAACAAAAAAATACACAAAACCTCTACTGCTTTGCAAATACCTTTTCCTTCTCAGTATTTCTCCAATTTACATAAGTGCCAATCCTGGTAGTGTGCAATGACTTCTAATTAGGTTACAAACCACTGCTTTGGAACAGTGGAAGACTTTGCTGTCTACTCACATCCTCCCTTATGCTGCTTTGAACTGGAAAAAGGATTTTAATTCAAGAGTGACTTGTCTTTATTTCCCTCCCATTTTGTCAGAAGACAGAATGTGCCAGGAATGTTGAGTGAAAACGGAGAGGGAGTGTTAGCTTTTAGATACTATTATATTTGTCTGTCTTTGTAAGATACCACCACTGAGCTGATTGAAGTTAGCAGTGGATAGAGGAGTAACTAACTTAGAGGAGGCCAAAGGATTTGAAGGAGTTAAGGATAGAACCCTTACACTGGATTGCAATGTAAATGGCCATAATTACCAGGGAGTACTGCCCTCCACAGGAATGTTAGGGAAAAATACCAGTTAAAATGGGCTAAACATTGAAAAGTCTAACAATATCAATGCTGACAAGGATGAAAATAATAGAACTACTCATATACCCTACATGTATACCCTGCATCCCAGCAATTCCATTCTTATGTAAGTATCTTAGGGAGATTCTCCCACACTTGCATAAGGAGATATGTAGGGATATGCTCCTTGCTGCCTTGTTTGTGACAGCAAATATTTGGAAACAACCCAAAAACCCATCAACAGAGGACTACAAACTTCAAACAGGGTATATTCCTTCCGTGGAATACTATATAGCCATTAAAAAGTAACAAAATTAATCAACATGGAGATACCTCAAGAAGATTATATGGAACTGAATCACATAATATTGTAAACTAATGTTACTCAAAAAAACTAATGAAATAATCTTTGCAAACATACAATACAACATTTTAATTTATCTTCACAAAAAAGAATATAATTTGAAGAGAAAAGTTGCATAAAGATACATAATATACTACTTATATAATGTTTAAAAACACTTAAAACACATAGCGTATATACCATTTACTAATCTGAAGCATGTCAAGATAAGACTGTGCATGCAATAACAGCATGCGTAGGGATGATGACCATAAAACAAGAAAAAAGGCCTGGGAATCACAAACCTCAAATTCAAGATAGCAGTTACTTATGAGGAAGAAGGAGAGGAAAAGAACAGGGAGGGATATGCAAGGTGTTTTGATTATATATGTTGTTTCATTTCTTTTGTGAATTGTGTAATCATTGTATTATATTTGTTATTATAAGACAAAAATAAATATAGGAAATATTTTGCTGAAAAAAATAAAAAGCTCTACTTCAGCTTCAACTGAAATTTATGAAGTTTCTGCCATGTATCTAGCACAGGAGTCTCACCAATACTGGAGGAATCTGTACTTATAAGTGTAATTGAATCTCATTATTTTGAAACATGTGCATTGTACCTCAGATGCAGCTTGGACGACCCCACCTGACGTGCCAGTCACTTATGTTCCTACCTGATCTCCTGAGGGTGCTGTGAGCTCACTACCGTGCCTGATGGATGTGTGGAGCGAGAGTGCATATGGAAGGAGGATCATGCAAGGTAGATTATACATGGACTTCTAGAAAGGGAATTGAGTTGATTTGGAGTTCTTTAAATAAAAGCAGCTTTCTGCTTTTTATGCTTCACATTCTCAATTCTTAACAGAAACTGTGATTGGATGTGGATGCAAGTAAAGAAATTCTCAGCTACATACTCATCAGTGCATGTGGCATGAAGAAAAAGGCAAAAATTCCTAAATTGGTTTTATTTGATTATAATGTGCAAGATTCAGAGGTCTGTTGATTAGAGTGCGTAAACTGAGGCTAGATGTTCACTTTTGAGGCACCTAGAGTGGCTGTTAAGCATCCAATGAGGCCGCAGCCCTTATCAGTGGCTGTCAATTCCAAGTCACTGGAAGAGTTTGATAAACTACACACTCCTTGGACCCACCTCTGAGATTCTGAATTATTTGGTCCTGGATGGGTCCCTGGGTGTTCATATTTAATGCACAGCACTTCTCAGACTGTTCTAATATACATTCAGCTTGAGAACGCAGCAGCTGATCCTATCTTTGTGGTGTGACATACCCTTGACCAATTTTCAGGGACACTGGTTATCTCCTCAGAACAGTTACTGCAGGTCCATCCTGTCACACTTGTGAGTTGAAGGAGAAACCGTGGACAGTATGTTGTCTCTTCTGAATCTCTATTCATATGAATGTTTATAAATCCCTTTGAAGTGTTACTTCTTGCCCAGATACTCTGCTGTGTTTTTGCCTTTCTTCATTCTTTTGTGCAAGACCAAGACATAGGGAGGGGCATGCAGCAAGGTTGGGGGAGAGTAGAATCCCCCTGCCCCTACCCCCACGTCCCCGCCCCCAAGCTACAGAGATAATCCATTTGTAGGTCAGACTCAGCTAGTCTGTAGATTTACAAGCTGGTTTAAAGAATCATGAATCAAGTAGTTCTAGGCGTCTTCTTTCCCATTTCTACCCCCAGCCCCACTGGAGATATTGGCAGTAACACATGACTTTGAGAGCTGAGCATGTAACCTCCCAATCTAGCAGAAAGATCTTTTACAACAACTCATCAGACATTCACTCAGGCACTGCTATAGAAACCTTTGCTAATTTCTGTTCAAAACACTTTTATGGAAGGCCTATTTACTGGGGCCCTGTGTTAGAGCTGGGAATAAAACAACAGTTATGGTTCTAGCTATTCATGATCCACAGGTGGTTAGAGGGGCAGAGTATAACCAAGTGATTACAACAGAGAGTTAGCAGAGAGAAGGTTCTGTGTAATTCCACATACAGGTTATAAAATTAGGAAAGCGGAAGCATTGTACAGATCAGCTTTGTGGGGGAGGAGTTTTTCACAGAGGGAGAGAGGACAGAGTTAAGTTTCAGAGTCTCATCAAGTGTGTTTTGAGCAGCGTCAGAATTACCTGGGACCTGTAGAAACTCAGGCCTCATCCTAGACCTGCAGAAACAGAATCTTCATTTTAACAAGATCCCCAGGAGAGTCATCTGCATATGTCCAGCTGGAAAAGTTGGAGGATGGACTAGGGGTTCTCCATGTTAGAGGTGGTGAGTTGACCACTAAGTGGAGTAACAACATCCACAAAGAATTCCATGTGTGAAAAAGCGTGGCGTTATTTGGGCCTGAGTCTAAGGTTAGTGAAGAACCAAAGATGATGCCTGGAGAGGCAAGTTGGGCCTTGTCATGAAGCAGCTTGTAGAGTATTCTAGGGAATGTGGATTTCATCATGAAGACCGTGAAAAACTGATTAAAGCCAATTAAAGATTTTAGATAGGAGAGATGCACAGTGAGGTTTTGGCTTTAGGAAGTTGCCATTGGCAGACAGGAGATGGGAGGAGCCCAGGGGCCTGACTTCGGGTGTTGCCATCACTGGACAAGCAATGAGGACCCAGACCTAGGTTGACCCCAGACAGGGGGGCAGAGGAGATGGGGATTATTCGACCTCTGAACAATAGGATTTACTACTACACAGCCATCCACATCTCCTTGAAAGTCCTTTTAGACACATATTTTATGTTGGCAGAAGAAAAGCCAATACATAAGCAAACAAAAAACCCAAACTCTCAGATACTTAATCCTAACTAACACTAAAATTAAAGAAAATACACCTCTGAGGAAAAAAAAAAAGAAAACACAACTAGAAGGAAAACATAGGTATACGTGACAAATTGTAGAAGCAGAAAAGACAATGAAAATGTTCCTTGTTTTGGAATGCATCAAATTGACTGACAATTGATATATGCTTTACAATTTAGATTAAATTAAACTACCATGTTGCTGTTGTAAAATATTGTAAAAAGCTTGAAAAACAGAAAGAGCACACACACACTCAGATATATTAGGATTTTTGCCATTTATGTCTAAGTATTTAAAAAGTGGTTTTGTTACTGACCAACAAAGGAGCTATTCTTTTTACTTTTCTTTGAAGGTGCAATCATTTTCTAGAGAATATTGTACCTTTTCTACATCCTTTTTCTTATCAATAACACATGTATAGTAGAATTTGTTAGTTCCAAACTTTTCTTTATGAGCAGAAATAAATTTCTAATAATTTTCTGCCTGAAATAGTAACACAAGTGATTGTTTTTTACTCATTCTCTTAGCAAAATAATCGGTTAAGTCTCTCTCCTTTCATTTTTAGATTTTTAACAAATAACATAAATTATGTATGAGAAGGCTTAGTGCAATTTTAATTACATTTAAAAAAGATATTTGATAAAATCTGAAATTGAATTACCAATGTCATTTTCCAATCAGTCATATTTTTATATCTTTTAAAATGCAGTGATCATCTGTTATTTTACTGCAAAGCATGCTATAAACCCAACCTTTATTTAGAAGATTTGTATATCTATAAACATCAAAATGGTAATGAAGATGGAGTTGTATGTTTCAGAGAATCACATTAGGTGAAAGCAGAAAATAGAAAAGGAGATGAATTTTTGGTCTGCCATTTAACCATATAGTAATCCCCTTTCTCAAGGCAAATCCCTTTTCTTTCAGGCAAATACCTACCATATCTTTTCTTTCATGAGACAAAAATGATCACATGACTGCCACTTGGTTCCTTGCTTCAATTTCCTGAACTCATTTCTTTGCCTTGTTTCTTTCTGTCTACCTCCCTGACAACAGCAGCTCAGACCTGGTCTTGTTAATTTGCTTTCTCAATAGAATTTTCCCTGGGTTTAGAATGGAATCTGTGATAACATTTACATTCCAGAGAGCTAAAACAAAAATGATTCTTTATTTTTAAAGATTTATTTATGTATGCATACAAGAACTGGGATATAAGCCAGGGTTATGAGGGGGTGAGAAGATTCACCAGAGACAGAGTGGGGAACAGAACAGACAGAACTACTGAAATACACTGCTGAGGGGAGCAGCGGGCGAGACAGGAGACGTCTGCTGCACCATGTGCATCAGCAACCTGGCTGGGGATTGAACTCATGCCACAGTGGTTGGCTATAGCTTGATAGCACTGAGACTTTAATCCCTGGGCCGCGAAGGAGGCCCAATGATTCTTAATTTAGATGGGACCATGCCACACCACATGTTAGCTGCACTACTAATACAAACTGCTTTGAGACTTCCAATGCTCAGAGAAAGTTGAACTTGTACGCATGACTGGGATTTTAGTCACAAATGGGTAGGCTGACTGTGAGACTTAACCTTGCAGACCCAGTTCTGTGGCAGCACAGCTTTATAAGCAGGACCTAAGCAAAAAGCTGTCCTTTCCATTGACAGTAAATTGGAACAAAGTCTTGGGAGAATAATCGGCAACATCTATCAACAACTAAAATGTGTATTCCTTTCCACTTATGGATTCTACTTAGAGACATTTCCACTGTAGGTTCCCTTGCCTAAGTACCCAAAGATATATCTACAAAAAGATTCAAAACAGTATTGTTTTTGAAGGCAAAACACTATATACAATCTATATATCTACTATCAGGAGATGCTTAAAAATATTATGGCCCAGTCACCAGAATGGAGAGGTAGCCACTATTTATGTGCTTATACAAAACACCTAAGTGGCAAAGCTAAGGGATTGTTTGTTGGGGCTTTAGTGTTGTCTACTTTCCAGCACCCTCATTTCTTTGATATGGGTAACTGATATTTTATGTGATTAAGAAGTATTTTACAACAGAGCTTCATGTCTTTCCAATCAGACTGCCCTCTCTGAGTCGCTATCACTATAGCATAGTTATGTGGATAAAAGGTAAAACTGTATGATAACATGTATAATAGCATGGAATATATGCATACAAATGCATGAACACATTTTTGGAAGGACACACTTGAAACAGTTTAACAGTGGTTATCTCTGGCTGGAAGGGTTGAGTAAGGGGTGGAGAGAGAGAAATTATAATTTTGATCCTTTTTTACTGCTTTGCAAGAATATAGATTACTTTTCTAATAATAAAGAACTTTAAACAAGTAAATAATTCTACATAAAAAAATAAGATGGAAAGTATATAAAGACAACTGAAATGGGACAATTATCTATTTGGGCGTGGGCACCCTAATAAGAATCTGCAAAAAAAGTCTCTATATTTTTGGTGGTGGTCCATAAGCCCAGAGACTTGTCTCTTTTGCCTATTACTGTGTCCCTACTGAAGAAATGGTTCCCTGGAGTCCTACTACCACTTCATTTTTCAGGACTTAAAGGTTATATCTTAAGTATGGCAGGGGCAGCAAACATCACCTCCTTCAAGAAGCTTTCTATTATTCTCGTAGCCCTTGCTGGTATGCCTTCTTTATACTCCTATTACAAAAAATTCACTGCTTTAGAGTAGGTGCCTATTGCCTTTATTCATATTGATCGTATTCCTTTTATCTCCAGGCAGTTGATGGCAGGAGGTCTTCAGTTCAATTACAGTTGTTCCCATCTTAGTGCTTCCTTTGTTGTTCTGCAGATATACTGATAAGGAGTGAGAATTTTACTTCTCTACTAAGATTGCAGGTATGGGACCTCTTTGCAGTAAAGAAGATCACACAGAGTGTGCCAAATTGCATATAATGGAACATTCCTAGATTCTAGCTGCAACTCCC